GTCAGGACATATCTTGGAAGTATAGTACGTGGGAATTGCTTGTGGACTAAATGTGAAAATTGGAAGAGGAAAAATCACGGAAAACTTGTGATTTGTTTTTTCTTTCCCTTTTTTTGAGATGGAGTCTTGCTCTGTCACCCAGGCTGGAGTGCAGTGGTGTAATATTGGCTCACTGCAACCTCCTGGGTTCAAGCAATTCTCCTGCCTCAGCTCCCAAGTAGCTAGGATTACAGACGCCCACCACCACGCCCGGTTAAATTTGTATTTTTAGTGGAGATGGGGTTTTGCTATCTTGGCCAGGCTGGTCTTGAACTGCTGACCTCAGGTGATCTGCCTTCCTCAGCCTCCCAAAGCACTGGGATTACAGTTGTGAGCTACCTACCATGCCTGGCCAAACTTGTGAATTTTTTGCCTGAGTAAATGGTGAGAGATAGTGGTATTAATGAGCTGGGAAATACTGAGGGAGTGGCAAGTTTGGAGGTAAATTTGAGAATTCTGTTTAAGACATGTTAAATGCGAGTGCCAATATGACATCCAAATGGAGGTATTGAATGGACAACTTAATATACTGAGTGTGAAGTTTAGGAAATTTGGTAGGATTACAAATGAAAACCTGGAAGTCATCAGTGTATGGGAGGTTCTAAGGCAAAAAGGTTGAATGAGATCACTGGGGAAGGAGCATAGACGAAGAGAGGCTGAGGATAGAGTCTACCAACTCTCCTATGCAGCACTCCAAGTCAGGGTGGTAATTTTTATTTTTATTTTTGATGTATTTCCATCCAATGCACTCACAGTGGTAATTTCATACTTATTTGTTGAACAATTCCACTAATTTTTGCATCTCCTATTAGAACAAAGCTCCTTGCCACAGGTACCGTGGTCCTCTTTACTCACCATATCTAACAATTTGCTGCCTGGCCTTTAGCCAGTCTGAAAGAACAAGGCATTTAAGAAATGTGATGGCCAGGCGCGGTGGTTCACGTCTGTAATCCTAGCACTTCAGGAGGCCGGGGCAGGTGGATCACGAGGTCAAGAAATTGAGACCATCCTGGTCAACATGGTGAAACCCCGTCTCTACTAAAAATACAAAAAATTAGCTGGGCATGGTGGCGCGTGCCTGTAATCCCAGCTACTCAGGAGGCTGAGGCAGGAGAATTGCCTGAACCCAGGAGGCGGAGGTTGCGGTGAGCTGAGATCGCGCCATTGCACTCCAGCCTGGGTAACAATAGCGAAACTCCGTCTCAAAAAAAAAAAAAAATGTGATTTGGCAGTATCCATTACAATGTAAAATGAGCACAGGAGTTGACTGAGCAAATCCTTTATTTCTATTTCTAGAAATAAAATCCAAAATATGTTCACAACTGTGCAAAAAGAACTTCAGGCTGTGGCTCACACCTATAATCCCACCACTTTGGGAGGCCAAGGCGGAAGAATTGCTTGAGCCCAGCAGTTTAAGACCGGCCTAGGCAATATAGCGGGACCCCACATCTATTTTTGAAAATTCTCCAGGTGTGGTGGTGCATGCCTGTAGTAGTCCCAGCTACTTGTGAGGCTGAGGCAAGAGAATCACTTGAGCCCAGGAGATTGAGGCTGCAGTGATTGTACCAAGGCACTTCAGTCTGGGTGACAAAGCCAGACTCCATCTCAAAAAAAAAGAAAAGAAAAAAGAGGGTTGGGCACAGTGGCTCACCCCTGTAATCCCAGCACTTTAGGAGGCTGTGCTGGGTGGATCACCTGAGGTCAGGAGTTCAAGACCAGCCTGACCAACATGGAGAAACCATGGAGAAATACAAAAATTAGCTGGACATGCAGTCCATGCCTGTCATCCTGTCATCTGTCATCTCAGCTATTAGGGAGGCTGAGGCATGAGAATTGCTTGAATCCAGGAGGTGGCAGTGAGTTGAGATCACACCACTGCATTCCAGCCTGGGCAATAGAGCGAGACTCTGTTTCAAAAAAACTTTTGCCCTTGGAACCCAGCCACCATGTTACCAGGAAGCAAAGGCCACATGGAGAGATCATGCATGTGTATTTTCTGGCTGATAGCCCCAGCTAGGCCTCCAGCTGACATCAACTGCCAGAAGTATGAGTAACCAGCTCTGCTTATGATTCCACTACCCAGCCTTTGAGTCTTCTAGCTGAGGCCCATACCTGTGGAGCTTAGATAAACCATTCCTACTGTGGCCTGTCTGGATTCCCGTCCCAAAGAAACCATGAGAGACTGTATATTTTACACGCATTCACATTTTATTTTATTTTTTTGAGACGGAGTTACTCTGTCGCCCAGGCTAGAGTGCAGTGGCCCAATCTCTTGCTCACTGCAGCCTCCACCTCCTGGGTCTGAAGTGATCCTCCCATCTCAGCCTCTAGAGTAGCTGGAGCTACAGGCACATTTAGCTAACTTGTATTTTTTGTAGAGACAGGGTTTCACCATGTTGCCCAGGCTGGTCTCAAACTCCTAGGCTCAAGTGATCCACCTGCCTCAGCCTCCCAAAGTGCTGGGATTACAGGCTTGAGCCACTATGTCTGGTCAAAACATTTTTTTCATTCATGTCATAAGTTTATTTACACACATATCTAGTATGCCATATGAGTTCGAGTTTGATCCATTTTCCAGAGACTGCACCTCTTCAAATGTTCTTCATGGCTGAGCACGGTGGCTCACGCCTGTAATCCCAGCACTTACAGGTGGGTGGATCACAAGGTCGAGTTTGAGACCAGCCTGACCAACATGGTGAAACCCTGTCTCTACTAAAAATACAAAAATTAGCTGGATGTAGTGGCATGTGCCTGTAATCCCAGCTATTCAGGAGGCTGAGGCAAGAGAATCGCTTGAACCTGGGAAGCAGAGGTTGTGGTGAGCCAAGATTGGGCCACTGCACTCCAGCCTGGGTGACACAGCAAGACTCTCTCAAAAAAAAAAAAAAAGCTTTTCATATCTGTTAAATGGAGAACTGAAACATCCTTATTTTTAAAGCAGTTGATGTCTTACTATAAAGAAGGGTGCAGCAAATCCAGATCCAAAGTACAAACACATCATGGCTAGTAACCGCCTCTTGTTTTCCACTGTAAATGGCACATTCTTCCCAGGGTCCTCCTCATAGTGGCACCTATGTACCACAGAAGTTGTGAACCTCTGGATGCTCTGGCCCAACACAGTGTTGCTGGAAGCTCTGCGAAAGGTGCAGAGACCGAGGGAGGACGGAAGAAATGGCTGCACCTCTTCAAGAGCTTTTTTTCATGACCTGCCAAAACTTTTTTTTTTTTTTTTTTTTTTTAAGGCATGGAATCTCACTATGTTGCCCAGGCTGGCCTCCAACTCCTGGGCTCAAGCGATCCTTTCACCTTGGCTTCCCAAAGTGCTGGAATTAGAAGCGCGAGCCACCATGCTCCACCAACCAGTATGATTTATTTTATTTTGTTGGCAAAGTGAAAGAAAGTTTATCAGAGAAGTAAAGAAACAAAGAAATAGCTACTCTGTAGGTAGAGCAGCCCACCCAGCACGATTTTTAATGGCTTTCTACATTGAATGGCTTATTATTGTTGTTTTGCGATAAGGTCTCCTTGTGTCACCAAGGCTGGACTGCAGTGGCACCATCACGGTGCACTGCAGCCTCGTCCCCCCCCTCCCCCCCGCCCCAGTCTCCTGAGTAGGTGGGACCACAGGCGTTTGCCACTTCACCCAGCTAATTTTAAATTTTTTGTAGAGAAGAGGGGGGCTCTCACTATATCAAACTCTTGGGCTCAAGTGATCCTCTCACCTTGGCCTCCCAAAGTGCTGGGATTACAGGCATGAGCCACAGCGACTGGCCAGCCTAGGTTATCTCTTTTTTTTTTTTTTTTGAGACGATGTTTTGCTCTTGTTACCCAGGCTGGAGTGCAATGGCGCGATCTCAGTTCACCGCAACCTCTGCCTCCTGGTTTCAGGCAATACTCCTGCCTTAGCCTCCTGAGTAGCTGGGACTACAGGCATGCGCCACCATGCCCAGCTAATTTTTTGTATTTTTAGTAGAGACGGGTTTCACCATATTGACCAGGATGGTCTCGATCTCTTGACTTCGTTATTCATCCGCCTCAGCCTCCCAAAGTGCTGGGATTACAGACATGAGCCACCGCACCCGGCCAGGTATCTTGAATGTGTATATAAGGGACTCGAGTATGGTTGGAAATGATTTGATTTGTTGCCTGTGGAATTGCACACGCCGGAGCCTCCCTAACAACAAAGTCTTCTCAGAGGAATTTCCACTGTGTTGCAGCAACAATCTGAGTGAGCCTCCATCTCTAGCCACCCCATTTGACATCCGGCCCCAGAAGGTAACTGAAAGTCATCATGACAATTCCTACACTGTAAAAAGAAACTGCAAGCAAGGCAGTTAAGATGCAGCCTTGCACGGTGAGCGTTAAGTCGGAGAATTGGGCAGCGAACGAGGCCGTGGCGGGGGAAGCGAAAGCCTGGTGTGGTTGCGGCTCTGGGGCTGCCCGGCGACCGCCTGTGTGTGCAGGCCCCAGCTCCCCTCTACCCACTCCACCGACGCCAGGATGTCCTCTCCGTGCCCGACCCCGGAGTACAAACAGTTATATGAGAAGCCGGTAAGAAACGCGCTGGTTAACATCATCGGGAGACACTGGAAGGCGAATTGTGGCTCCCCACGCGGTCGCAGCCTGCCGTACCCTGCTAAACTCTGGGTCAGAGCGCCAAATTACAAGGAGGCGGCGCTAAAGGAGCTCTCTAGCCAGGAGTCTGCCGCGACCCGAGAGACCGTGGGTCGACCCCAGTCCGGAAGTGACGCAACGGCGCCAAGCACTTCCGGAGCTGCGGAGACCACTCCTGTGGAGGAAGCAGCGCGGGCTTGACCGGCGTCGGCTCGCCGCCTCTGCCGCTGCTGTGCCCCAGTCCGATCTCTCTGGCCCGGCCTGACCCGGTCTGGCTCGCCCGGGTTCAGCGGCCGCGGGGTCGCAGCTCCCGGTAAGTGTGAGGTGCACGTCGCGGCCTTGTTTACCTTGGCAGGCCGGTAAGGGGGGGGCCTCTCCGCGCGCTTCCCCGGCCGGGCCCGGACTCCGCCTTCGCCGTTGCCTGGGAGGCCCGGGCGCCCCCAGCCGTCCTTATACTGTCCGAGCGTTCCCCGCCGTCAGCGGAGTGACGGCCGAGCGCCCAGCGTCTCCGCCTTTTTTCCTCTCGCCGCCTTTTCAGCTTGCGGAGAGGTCGGAGGCCACCGCCTCAGACCAACCGGTGCCGGCACATATGGGCCTCCCTGCCTGGCGCGGCGGGGAAACGCGCGGCCTCGGTGCTCCCCACTCGAGTCGTCTTTTGTAGTTCTGGCAGAGCTGCCCTCGCGGTTTAACGCCCGTCTGTGAAGGATATCCTCAGCGCGTGGGCTCCGAGTCCGCGCGGATATTCCGGAGCCCACGACGCCACAGGGGACGTGCGGCCCCGGAGCTGTGCAGCCCCCTTGCCCGACGCCGCTTGGGCAGCCCGTTCTCGGATGACTTTGCCTTAGTACTGTTTGTTCATTGCCGGGGCCCATAGAACTTTCTGTTATAGCTGACATGTTCTGTACCTTTGCTGTTCAATATGGTAGCTAGTAGCCACACGTGGCCATTAAGCATTTGACCTGTAGGCTAGTGCACCTGGGAAACGAAATTTTAAATTTTACTTAATTTTTAAGTGTAATGAAATTTAAATAACCACATCTGGCTAGTGGTCACCGTGTTAGACAAGACAGATTCAGAGTGTAGGATTTTGGAACGAAATTGCTGATTTCTAGTTTTGTGTCAAGTTTTTCTTCAGAGGTGTAGTTAGTAAATGATCATAAAGCACTAATGATCATATCTGGAGTGAACGTCATCAGACTCACTAAAACTTCTGTGCTTTGTTCGTGGTCAGCCCTGGTAAGCAAGCCCAGGGTGGTTGCCAGGTCCTCTGAACATGTGACTTTGGCTCTGGAGGAAATTTTTTTTTTTTTTTGGTGGGTGGGACAGAGTTGCTGTCACCAGGCTGGAGTCCAGTGACGATCAGAGCTAAGTGCAGTCTCGACCTTCTGGGCTCAAACGGCCCTCCTGCCTCAGCCTCCCAAGTATGTGAGACCACAGGCACGCACCACCACACTTGGCTAATTTTAAAAATATTTTGTAGATACAGGATCTTTTTTTTTTTTTTTTTTTTTTTTTTTGAGACGGAGTTTCGCTGTTGTTACCCAGACTGGAGTGCAATGGCACGATCTCGGCTCACTGCAACCTCCGCCTTCTGGGTTATAAAGCAATTCTCCTGCCTCAGCCTCCCAAGTAGCTGGGACTACAGGCGCGCACCACCATGCCCAGCTAATTTTTTGTATTTTTAGTAGAGACGGGGTTTCACCTTGCTGACCAGGATGGTCTCGATCTCTTGTTCTCGTGATCCACCCACCTCGGCCTCCCAAAGTGCTGGGATTATAGGCGTGAGCCACTGCGCCCGGCCTAAAAATTAAATTTTCATTTAAATCTGTGTCTAGAACACTTAGTATGAAATGGAGTCCTCTTTTTTTTTTTTTTCTTTTGGAGGAACTTGGAGTTTTCCCCACCTAAATACTTGGTTGGTGAGCAGCTGTGGGCAATTTCTTTTCTTTTCCTTTCTCTTCTTTTCTTTTTTTGAGATGGAATCTCAATCTGTTGCCCAGGCTGGAGTGCAGTGGTGCAGTCTTGATTCACTGCAGCTTCCATCTCCCAGATTCAAGCAGTTCTCCTGCCTCAGCCTCCCAAATAGCTGGGATTACAGGTGCAGCCACCATGCCCAGCTAATTTTTGTGTCTTATAAGCGGTGAGTTTTCACCATGTTGCTCAGGCTGGTCTTGAACTCTTATGCCCAGTCCGTCTACCCACCTTGGCCTCCCAAACCAAAGTGCTGGGATTACTCATGTGAGCCACCGCACCTGGCCCTGGGACTTTTTTTTTTGGAGATAGGGTCTCTCTGTCAACTAGACTGGAGTGCAGTGGCTCAATCTTGGCTCACTGCAGCCTCAACCTCCTGGGCCCAAGAGATCCTTTCACCTCAGCCCCCTAAGTTGCTGGGGCTACAGGCATGTACCACCATGACATTTATGAGTAAAGTGATATAAATGAACCATGACAGCATGAGTAAAGTGAGATCTGAAATATTAGTATTATTTTGTGTTAGATTACCGCCGTGGAGGTGACTTTATAGTAAAAGTTCAATTTTAAGTCAGTTACAATTTGCTTTGTCAACATGTACATAACATTTAGGATTGAAATTGTGGTAGTTACTGTAGAGAATCTGAAGGACAGAAGTATTGGAGCAAAGAAGTGGGCTTTCAGCTGGGTGAGGTGGAGGTTATGGTGAGCTGAGATTGCAATGCTTTTTTCTCAAAAAAAAAAAAAAAAGAAAGAAAAAAGTAGTCTTTCAAACTGAGAGAGAGGAGAGAGAGAATTGAGGATTAATTTCTATAACCAGTACCCCAGGTTAAATTATTGCTACCTGTTTACTTTGAATACTTTTTTTTTTATTTTGCTTTAAGACAGAATTTTGCTCTTGTTGCCCAGGCTGGAGTGCAGTGGCATGATCTCGACTCACCACAACCTCCAGCTCCTGGGTTCAAGCTATTCTCCTGCCTCAGCCTCCCGAATAGCTGGGATTACAGGTATGCGCCACCATGCCTGGCTAATTTTGCATTTTTAGTAGAGATGGGGATCTCCATGTTGGTCAGGCTGATCTCAAACTCCTGACCTCAGGTGATCCACCCGCCTCAGCCTCCCACAGTGTTCTGGGATTACAGGTGTGAGCCACTGCGCCTGGCTACTTTCTTTCTCTCTCTCCCTTTTTTTTTTGAGATGAAGTCTCTTGTTATCCAGGCTGGAATGCAGTGGCACGATCTCAGCGCACTGTAGCCTCTGTCGCCCTGGTTCAAGCGATTCTCCTACCTCAGCCTCCCGAGTAGCTGGGATCACAGGTGCCCACCACCATACCTGGCTGATTTTTGTGTTTTTAGGAGAGATGGTGTTTCACCATGTTAGTCAGGCTGGTCTCGAACTCCTGACAGGTAATCTGCCTGCCTCAGCCTCCCAAAGTGCTAGGATTATAGGTGTGAGCCACCACACCCAGTGGAATACTTTCTTTTTTTAGAAGACCATGTAACTCTTGTTAGTATAATTATGATTTGGATTTTTGTTGGCACTTAAAAGAAGTTCTTAACTTAATAGTTGCTCTGTTCGTTACTACTTGTTCTTTAAAATACCTTTTTAAATAACAACAAAAAAAAACTTGCAAAATCAGTATACCAGTTTTAAAAATATACATGTAATTCTCTTTTCATTTTAGATGGAAATCATATTACATAGAATATTTGGGTGACATATGCCTGAGAAATCTCCCAAGAATTACAGGTATTTTTAACTTAAAGATTAACTTTTTCTCCAGAGAAAAAACACCACAGTTAAGTTTAGTTGTGACTATGTGGTTCTACCATACAAACGAGTTTGTTAAAAGTCAGACTGCAAACAACATTTAATAGGTCAATTTTTTTTTTAAAGAAATAGGAGCATTTATAGTTAACATATCAACTTAAATATACTGATATTTTTATTATATAAAAATGTGACTCTAGGGTGAGCGCAATGGCTCATGCTGTGTAATCCCAGCGTTTTTTAAGGCCAAGGCAGAAGGATTGCTCGGGGCCAGGAGTTCAAGACCAGCCTTAACAACATAGGAATACCCTGTTTCTTTTTCTTTTTTTTCCCTTGGAGATGGAGTCTTGTTCTGTCATCCAGCCTGGAGTGCAATGGCATGATCTTGGCTCACTGCAACCTCTGCCTTCTGGGTTCGAGCAATTCTCCTGCCTCAGCCTCCTGAGTAGCTAGGACTACAGGTGCCTACCACCACGCCCACCTAATTTTTGTATTTTTAGTAGAGACAGGGTTTAACCATATTGGCCAGGCTGATCTGGAAGTCCTGACCTTGTGATCCAACCACCTCAGCCTCCCAGATTGCTGAGATTACAGGCGTGAGCCATCGTGCCCGGCCAGTAAAACCTTGTTTCTACAAAAAATAAAATTAGCCAGGTGTTGGGGTGACATATGCCTGTAGTCCCAGCTACTCAGGAGGCTGAGGCAGGAAGATCTCTTGAGCCCAGGAGTTGGAGGCTGCAGTGGACCATGATCATGTCATTACATCCCAGACTGGGTGACAGAGTGAAACCCTGTCTTGGAGTAAAAAAAAAAAAAAAGATTTCACAGTCCTTTAGACTGGTTACATATTCAGTACAAATTCTTTTACCTTTTGGTAGATATGGGTCTCATTGTGTTGCCCAGGCTGGTTTGGAACTCCTGGTTTTGAATGATCCTCCAGCCTCAGCCTCCCAAAATGTGGGGATTATGATACAATGTGAGCCACTATACTTGCGCCTCTTTTTTTTTGGTAAGTAGAAGAGCATTTATCTAAATTATTATTAACTTTTTTTTTTTTAAGACAGAATTTGTTGCCTAGGCTGGAGTGTAGTGGTATTAGTGGCATGATCTCACTGCAGCCTTGACCTTCTAGGCCCAAGCAATCCTTCCACATAGCCAGGACTACAGGCGTGTGACCACTGTGCCCATCTTATGTCGTTTATTTATTTTTTTGAGACTGTTCTCCAGGCTGGAGTGCGGTGGCATGATCTTGGCTCACTGCAACCTCTGCCTCCCTGGTTCAAGTGGTTCTCCTGCCACAGCCTCCCAAGTATCTGAGATTCCAAATGTGCACCACCATGCCCAGCTAATTTTTGTCGGTTTTCTTTCCTTTCCTTTTCCTTTTCCTTTCCTTTCGCTCTGTCACCAAGGCTGGAGTGCAGTGGTGCAATCTTGGCTCACTGCAACCTCTGTATCCCAGGTTCAAGTGGTTCTCCTGTGTCAGTCTCCTGAGTAGCTGGGATTACAGGTGTGCACAACCATACCTGGCTAATTTTTGTATTTTTAGTAGAGATGGGGTTTCACCATGGTCAGGCTGATCTCTAACTCATGACCTCATGATCCACCCACCTTGGCCTCCCAAAGTATTGGGATTACAGGCGTGAGCCACCATGCCCAACCTAATTTTTGTATTTTTAGTAGAGATGGGATTTTGCCATGTTGGCTAGGCTGGTCTTGATATCCTGGCCTCAGGTGTTCTACCCACCTCCGTCTCCCAAAATGCTGCGATTATTATTGTTTTTTAATTTGCTGTAGCGACGTGGTATCACTAGGTTGTTCAGCTGGGTCCTGACCTTCTGGCTTCAAGGAATCCTCTCATTTCAGCCTCTCAAAGTTCTGGAATTGTAGTTGTGAGCCAGCACACCTGGCCCTCAGTCTTTGTTTTTTTGGTTGTTTTTTTCAGAGTACCTACTTCAAGTAGGCTT